CAACGAGGTAGGAAGAGCAAACTTGACATTCTGGAAATCTTAAACCGGCTCGAAGGTTTCGCAGGCATTGCTGAGACGAGAGGGTAGAACCTGGCGGGTCAGGTTTGACTCGTGGCTTCCTCCTCTTCTTAGGAGTCTGCACAATTGGAGCGACATCCTCGGTCTCCACCTCATCTTCATGCTCTGATTTAACAGTCCTAGCATCATCACGTACTTCCTCAACGGAAACTCCAGGAGAGATCGGGTGTGTCGCGCTACCAGCATGAGACTCGGGCGAATGAAAAATCTTCCTTCCAAGAAGCGAATGACCACTAATCGAATCAACAAGATTGTCCAAGTGTGGAGAAGCATTCAAAGGACCTACCACTGAAAGACGTGCCCATGGACTCATGGGAGGTAAATGGTCAGACATCTCTTTACTTCGGTTGTACATCCGACTCGCCGAATCAGCACAATTTACGTCGGTGCCCAATCAAAACTGACCTCGGCGTATAAGTTCTCTGCTCCGCGTTGGCAACTCTATTCTTTCAACCTCGGTAGCACCAAAATCCACCTCATCTCACTTCGGTTTCGATTCACTTCGGCGTCATGCCTCCACGGTTTCGACTTGCAACAGTTCTGCCACTCCTCGCCTCGTCGGATTCGCAAATTACATTGACGACAGGACCTACCTCACTTAGTTTTTCTCTTGACCTCGGTCTCGCTCCACTTCGGCTTTGCTTATGAGCTGTAGTCGGGAACAATGACCTCAGCCCAAGGCAATTCAATCCAACCTCAGTTCAAGCCAAATCAACTCTGCCGAGTTTCACCTCGTCCTTGTCATCATGTAACCTCGACACTCCTTTTTAACGATTTTAAGCCACCCTCTTTCCCGAAATTAATCACTTCGGGATTCACGGCGTCACCACGTCGTTACTCCTCGTCGCTCCCTTTTCACCTCGGTTTTAACTTATCGGATCGCGAATCTAACAAGAAGCTGACCAACCTCTTCACCTCGGTTGCAACATGGTAGCTAACTCGACCCACCTCTTCAACAACTCCTCTCGTCACTGTCCCGATCCACCTCGGCTCACAACCTTTCACCTCGGCTTGTCAATCCCTTCGCTGCCTTCAACTCACTTCGTTTTCGCTTCAAGGCACCAGATCAAAAAATTGGACCAAGAGGGAGAGAACTCGGCGGTGGTGGCGGGTCTAGGGCTTTTCAAACAAAAAAAAACATAAATTTTAACTTAAGAGAGAGAAGGGAGAGAAGGGGTTTACCTTTTTGGAGCTTTTGGAGAAAATGGGATTGTGAGGAGAATGAGAAAGAATAATGATATTTATAGACTTGGAGCATTTGACAACATCACTTTGCCTCGGTAACCGCAAAAACCTGTCCATGGGCCACAAAATCCCATTACCGAAACAAGTCCATTGGGCTAACTAG